AGTTCACTGCAGCCTTGATGTCCTGGGGCTCAAGCAGTCCTCCTGCTTTAGCCTCCTGAGTAGCTAGGACTGCCGGTGCATGTTACCCTGTCTGACTAATTTTTATATTTTTTTGGTAGAGATGGGGTTTTACCATGTTGCCTAGGCTGGCCTTGAATTCCTGGGCTCGAGTGATCCGCCAATCTTGGCCTCCCGAAACGCTGGGATTAGAGGCATGAGCCATGGCACCCAGCCTAAAATTTCTCATAGAGACAAGGTCTTACTGTGTTGCCCAGGCTGGTCCTGAACTCCTGAGGTCAAGTGATCCTTCAGCCTTGGCCTGCTAATGTGTTGAGATTACAGGCGTGAGCCACTGAACCCAGCCAAAAATATTTTTTCTAATCTCCTAGAGTCATCTTGCCCACACCTATTTTTTTTTTTTTTTTGCAACTTACCCTTATGGAGTCTATCCACGGCAGTCAACCATCAACCTAGTTTTCATAGCATTAATAACTCCTTGTTTTACACTCATTTCATCAGCTCATGTACTTTTAAATTAAAGCACATAATTAGAGTAACAGATACAATTGCCACAAAAAGGTCTGGAAACAAACCTGACTGTTTCTAGACTATGTGCAACTCCACTGTGGGAGCGGTTAGGCACCCACACGCTGTGCGTTCCTGTGCCCTAAGTGATGTATGGCAGGCGGATGGCCAGTACCCTCAACTGGGAGCCCTGGTGCATCTAGTGAGTCAGCTAACTGCAGGTGCAGGCTGGTCACCAGTGCCTGCTGTATCCACTGCATCCCTCTCTTAGCTCAGCCCCAAGAGAAGCCTTGTGCAGATCCGTTCATGTGAAGTGACTGATTTAGGGCTTGACCTGGTTGGCCAGACGTGCTTAGACAGGCCAGCACCCCAAAAGTAGGCCAGACTGTAAATACTTGTGATCTCCAAAACATTTCAAAAACACGAAACCTGTTTTATCCCCTGTGGGTGAACAGGACCATCCTGCTTGTTTTTGTGTATAAAGAGATTGATTTATTTACCTGGGTCATAGGCTCATAGACAAACATGGCTTCTGTTTCCTTAGAGGTGAAAACCGCCTTTCTGGAGGCTGGTCCAACCCAGAATTTAAAATTTAACTTTTGCTTTGGTGCCACCAAGTGGTTAGCTTTGAGATGCCACTTTTGAGATGATGGCTTGCCAAATCCATAATGATAAAAAAAATATCTGGGATGTATAGGAGAAACTCAGAGAATTTTTAGGGCAGTAACACCATTTTGTATAATACAATGGTGGATATATATTATAATATACATTTATTCAAATTCATAGAATGTGTAACACCAAGAGTGAACTCTAAACTGTGGACATTGGCTGATTACAATGTGTCAATGTAGGTTCATCAGTAGTAGCAAAAGTCTTACTCTGGTGTCGGAGGTTGATAATGGGAGGGGCTGTGCCTGTGTGGTGGGAATAGGGGCCATATGGAAACCTTCTGTACTTTCTGCTCAGTTTTGCTGTGAACCTAAAACTGCTCTGTTGAATAAAATTTATTAATGAAAAGTTCTATGCTGCATACATTTTCCCTTCTGGCTACCGGTGTTGCAGGTAAGAGCAAGATAAGATAGAAACATCATGTAGAGGGGCAAGCTGACTTCTTAGGCAGGGATGATACAACCTTTATGAAGCCCCACATTCCAGAGGCTGGGTCCTTAGCTTTGTAGGTCCCAGAAACCTTCTTATTTTTATTTTTTTCAACGTATGTAGAGTTGTTCGGTTTTTCAGGGCTCTATCATGCTCACCAAACTTACAAGAGACACTTTTTGAAAAGTCAGATTGGCAATATATTATTTTACAATTAGAATAGTATAATCAATGGTAAACCAAAGCACATGTGGTAGATGAGAAGTTCATTTTTCACCCTGCAGGAAATTTATATGGGCAGACAGACTGTATCAAGTAGGTTGCTTGGTGAAATTGCAGTAGGGTCGGGGAAGGATGTTGCGTGTCTTAAGGTTGCTACCATTCAGACGAGGCTATCTTCACCGCTTTAGCGATATACATGTCTCTGGACTGGGGATACTTACATTGCTAGGCAGTACAGAATCCTGGACAATGCTGATGACAGGTCAACTTAATCTTTTCCTTTGGGTACTCTTTTCGAAACTCTATGCTGAGTGCGTGAGAATTCTTTCTTTCCTCACACAGGACATAATGTAACTGGCAAGACCAATACTGTAGGCTTGCTGATACAGCTCTGGTCTCCTGTGAATGGTGGGTCACCAGGATTAGCATTTGGATGTTCCCCAAATCATCAGCCACTATTTATAGGTTTTTGGTTAGGCGGGGCTAGTGTACTCATTACATGCTAATTTTTAATAATTTTATTCTCAGAGGAAGACTTATGTTTTATGTTTTGGTGATTCTGTTCCTGAATACAGGTCAATATTAATATGCAAAATTAATATGCAAAATCCTTAATCATTTTGGCGTAGATTCCTAATAGCAAAACAGTACTTGGCTGAAGATGGGAATTATCTTGGTTTATTAGTCTGTTCTCACACTGCTATAAAGACATACCTGAGACTGGGTAATTTATAAAGAAAAGAGGTTTAACTGATTCACAGTTCCACATGGCTGGGGAGGCCTCAGGAAGGGGAAGCAGGCACATCTTATATGGCAACAGACAAAAGAGAGCATGCAAGAGCAGGGAAAACTGATTTACAAAACCATCAGATTTCATGAGAACTGATTCACTATCATGAGAACAGTGGGGGAGAAACCATCCCTTGATCCAATCACGTCCCACTTGATCCCTCCCTCCACATGTGGAGATTATGGGGATTATAATTCGAGATGAGATTTGGGTGGGGACACAGAGCCAAACCATATCACCTAGGTTCTAAGTAGGAATGCAGGCCACTTGATGTCTGTGTCATGAGAGCTTTGCACAGGCCTCACTGCCTACTCGTACTCACCAGCCTGTCCTGTGATGCCTCACTGGAGTGCTCAGTTGTCTCCGGTTCTTTAGTGCAGGGGTCCCCAGCCTTTTTGGCACCAGGGACTGGTTTCAGGGAAGACAATTTTTCCACAGATGGGGCAGGCAGGAGAGAATGGTTTTGGGATAAAACTGTTCCACCTCAGATCATCAGGCATTAGTTAGATTCATAAGGAACGCACAACCTAGATCCCTCACATGACCAGTTCACAATAGGGTTCATTTTCTATGAGAATCTCATGCCACTGCTGATCGACAGGAGGCAGAGCTCAGGCTATAATGTAATGCTGTGTGGCCCAGTTCCTAACAGGCCACGGACTGGTACCAGTCTGCGGCCCTGGAGGTTGGAGACCTCTGCTTTAGTGCAGCATCCCCTCCCCACCTGCCTCTTCCCCTGTACTGCTGCCATGTGGAGTCCTCGGTCGAGAAAGTTCATGGTATTTGCAGAGGTTATCAATCAGTGTCCTGTGGTTGGAATCTAACCCATAGATCTCTTTTGTTTTTGCCAATATGTTGTTTTTAAAAGTTTGATTTAATTGCCCAAGCTTAAAAAATTAAAAAATCAGGAGATGCACACAAAACTCTGAGTATTCTCTTTCTTTTTCCTTCTTTCCCTCTCTCTCTCACTTCTTTCTTTTCTTTTCTTTCCTTCTTTCCTTCCTTTCTTTTTTTTTGACAGAGTCTCACTGTGTTGCCTAGGCAACACAGTGCAGTGGTGCAATCATGGCTCACTGCAGCCTTGACCACCTGAGCTCAAGCAATCTTCCCACCTCATCCTCCTGAGTAGCTGAGACTACAAGTGCGTGCCACCATGCCTGGTTAATTTTTGTATTTTTAGCAGAGATGGAATTTCACCCTGTTGCCCAGGCTGGTCTTCAACTCCTGGGCTCAAGCAGTCTGCCTGCTTTGGTCTCTCAAAGTGCTGAGATTCAGGCATGAGATTACTGTAATCGTTCTGGCCTGAGTCTCCAGTTTCTTTGCAAAAAAAAAAAAAAAAAGTGGGTGATCTGGCTACGCATGTCTTACAGCACAATAAGTTATTGGAGTGGGGCCTAAGTAGGGCACATTTCTTCCAATCACCCTCTTTCACTGCCCTTCCCTTTCACTCATTTATGTTACTGCTTGGTAACATATTTGGTGGTGACTCATAGTTTGCAAATACAGGATAAGACACAACAGAAAAAACAAGCATAAGGAAAGTAGTGGCTCCTTGTGGACTCTTGCTCCCTGCTCTTGTCCTTGCTGGCTGCGGGGAATTCCTTCCTTGGAACCTGCTTTCAGGCTTTTATCTTTTGGACCCTATTTCTGTTAGTATGTCAACTCTGATTTTATCCCTTGTGCTTCCAAGAGGTGTGGGCTGGAGCATTGTTCAGGAAAGCTATGGACTTTGAAATCTGGTCTATATCTGCAAGACCCAGTTTTGAATCCCAGCCCCACTTCTTACTGACTTCAGTTCCCTTATCAGTAAAATGAGGGCGATCACCTGTCTCATAGGTTGGTATGAGTATTAAATGGGATTTTTTAACGTAAAGCATCATGCAGAGGGTAGATCCTCAAATAATAGTGCTCTTGTCCCTCTCTTCTCTCTTTTTTTTCTTTAAATTTTTTTGTTTTGTTTCTTCTTTTTCTATCGGTCCCTTGGGAGAAGAAATCTCTCTTCTTTCAAGACATGATTCTTTCTCTTTTTTGTGACCTTGATGAAACCACTTACTCCTCTTTACTCTTTTTATAAAGACTACTGTTTTATTTTTCTTCCTTGTAACTTTGTCTTTCCCATCTGTACATTTTACATATTCCCTTTTCTTAGAGTTAGAACTCTCTCATAAAAACTCTCCTATAAGAATAATGGATGGCAAGTAAATTTATTTTGCTGTGGGAAATTCTATAAGAAGGCCTACCTTTTATCAAATTTCTGTAACAATTGTATATAGTTTTGTGATATAAACCACATTAGCTTTCACAGTAATCTGTTGGGATGCTTTCTGCGTATATGTATGTTTCCCTGTTCATTGTATTGTAGAAATAGAGCCGAGGTCAAAGGCTGGAAAGTCATCAGCAGAAAAAATTGGTAGTGGAAGGGCAACACTTCGCCTGAGATCAAAAGGTCCTGCCACCGTGGAAGAAATGGTATGTTATGTTCATTTACTTCCTGTTCTGCTTGGAAATGTTGAGATATTTGTGATTATTGGAACTGGAAATAAAGATAAACTCACAAAGTTAGATAAAATTCCATTCATTCTAATCAAAACTTAGACTTTTAATTCATTGTCTATTTAATCTGGAAATTACTGAAGGTATTTAAAAAGGAAATAAAGAAGTTAAGGACATGAGAAGAGATTGTGATCTATAGAAATTCTCAGCTACCTGTAGGTGACGTCTCTAGACTCTATAGACAGCTGGACTATCTCAAAAACTTAAGTCAACCAAAGCTCTCTGAGAGCCAAGAAAAAGTTTCGGAGCCACCTGTAGGAGTCAACAAAAGAAGATTTTGATAATGAAAGATTATATTCCTAAACCCCTCTTCTCACATAAAAAAACCTTGTAGTCATCTTTGACTCTTTCTGTTCATGTCCCACATTGCTTCCATTAGCAAATCCTAGTGAATCTACCTCTATAAGATACTGGAGTCCAATGACTTCTCACTGCCCCTGCCCACCACTGTGCCGCAAAGCACCATCATCTTATCCTGGATATTGCAATCACCTGTTTAGTACACCTGTGTTCACCCTTGCCTTCTTTCCACCTGTGCTCAGCACAACCTTCAGAATGATCCTTAAAATATGCAGGAGAAATTATGTCACTTTTCTGTTTACAACCCTCCAGTGGTTTCCCATGACACTCAGAATAAAAGCTAAAGTCCTCAGAATGACCAATGTGACCGAACTCCATATTTCTTCTCTGTTCTCAATTCCCACCCCTCTGCCCTGGCTTCCTCTGCTTCAGTCATGCTGGTCTCCTTGCTGTTCCCAAACACTCCAGGTGTATCCCCATCTCAGGCTGTCAGTACTGCTGTTGTCTCTGCCTGAATGTTTTGCCCATTTATCTGCATAGCTTGCTCCCTTGCCATCATTAGGTTTCTGCCCACACATTATCTATCTCAAAGGTCTTTCCCGAGCATCCTGTATAAACAACTCCCTCCACCCCTCCCACTGCCCACTCTTCCACGCCCTTAATTTCTGTCGAAGCAATTGTATTAGTCCGTTTTCACACTGCTAATAAAGACATACCTGAGACTGGGTAATTTATAAAGAAAAAGATGTTTAATGGACTCACAGTTATACATGGCTGGGGAGGCCTCACAGTCATGGCGGAAGGTGAAGGAAGAGCAAAGGCACCTCTTATATGGCAGCAGGCAACAGAGTGTGTGCAGGGGAACTGCCCTTTATAAAACCTCAGATCCCGTGAGACTTATTCACTATCACGAGAACAATGGCATGGGAAAAACCTGCCCCCATGATTCAGTTACCTACCACCAGGTCCCTCCCACAACATGTGGGGATTAGGGGAGCTACAATTCAAGATGAGATTTGGGTAGGGACACAGTCAAACCATATCAGCACTAAACACCCTAGGACTCTTTTTATCTCTGATTAATTTTGTCTACTGTCTAGCTCCTTTGCTCACATGTCTTGTTCACTGCTGCATCCCTAGCACCTAGAATAGGACTTGATATATCAAAGGAATGGAAATCTTTGATGCATTGATGAATTAATAAATGATTTCTTTTAGTTTGAGAAAAGCAAGGGTTTTTCTCTTTGACTGACTTTATCTATATACAAGTTAGTGTTTGAGTGAAAAACACCAGAAGGAGAAGTGACAACTAGAGGCAGGAAGGGTGGAGGAAGAACACTGCAGGGTTGGGGTGGTGATGGTAAGGATTCTGAGTGGCAAGCAGCAGGCCCACAGCAGCAGCAAAGGCAAGGGGGGCAAAGCCCTCCTGTGGGTAGACGGGATGTCGAGCAGGTGACTGATGCCTATGAGCCCCAGGGGGGCAAGGCACTGGGCCCTTCTAGGGTCTCCCTGTATGTGAACACTGTCTGGGTTCCTGTGTGTTTGAAGGAAGAAAGAGACAGGTGAACAGTTTTGAGGCTGTTTCACAGAGTGGATCCCAGAACTTGTTGGGTGACAATGTCCAGGGTTGGTCATAAGGGTGGTTTGTTGAAGCAGACACTTAAGGAACCCATGAGGCCAAGACTGTCCTTAGGAGTGTCAAGTCACCCAGGGTGTTGTCAGTTTTGGGAGGATTCAGAGGAAGATCCTGAGTCAAATGCTTGAGTTCTGGGAGAATGAAAGGACTGATTGGAGGCAAATGGCAATGAAGAGAACTGATAGAGCAGAAAGTGTTTTGAAAAGGAGATGTGATGAGGTATGAGAAGGAAACCCAGGGCAGTGACTTCTGGGTGTTTGGAGCCTTTATTTTCCCTCTGTGGCCCAGCACACTGCCTGGTATATTGCTGAAGGCCAGTAAGTGTTTATTGAATGAATAAGCAAATCTCAGTGGAAGAAAGGAATTTATCAGAGAAGAGAAGAACAGAGGGGAAGGAGCTGGCTGTGGGGAGCCGGGAGAATGCCAGCTCTGCCTTTTGCCGGAGGCTGTGAGGAAAAATGAGCAGACCTTTAAACAGCTCACAGAGGAAGCAGGTCAGCAGGAAAAACGCCACGTCACTTCAGGAGGAAGGGCATCTTCTAAGGGTTAAATCATCCATCCCTCTTTGTTAAGCTCCTGCTGTGGCAAAGGTGCCTCAATGGAAAAGAGCAGCTTAAGATCTACCTGGGGAGGTAAGAAAGATTCATTCAAAGATAAACATCTAAAAATCCATTCCTATTTTCATAGCCTGTTTAGTAAAATAGGGCAATTAAAAATAGCTCATAATGAAAGGAAAAAGCGATTTGGTGCTAATATTAAATTTGGCACAAATGACCTAAAATCTAATTTCAAACACTTTAAGGATTTAAAGGATTTATAGGATTTGAAACAAATCACTCCTTTAATCACCTAGCACAAATTCTGAAAATGGTGTAAGATTCTCTGTATTAGTCCGTTTTTACACTGCTATAAAGAATATCTGAGACTGGGTGATTTAAAAGTAAAGAGGTTTAATTGACTCACATTTCCGCATGACTGGGGAGGCCTCAAGAAACTTACAATCATGGCAGAAGGTGAAGGGGAAGCAAGGCACATCTTACATGGTGGCAGGAGAGAGTGAGTGTGCAGGAGGAACTGTCACTTTTGAAACCATCAGATCTTGTGAGAACTCCCTCACTATCACGAGAACAGCATGGGGGAGACCACCTCATGATGCAGTCACCTCCCACCAGGTCCCTCCCTTGACACGTGGGGATTACAATTCAAGATGGGATTTAGGTGGGCACACAGAGGCAAACCACTTGCATAACCTCATACTTTATTCAATGTGTGCTTGCTGAGACAGGCACAGTCTAAGTGCTGGTGATACAAAGAAGAACAAAGACCCTGTTTCTCTTCTAAAAGGAGAGAAGCATGAAAAGAAACCATTACAACCCAGTGGGATAGGGTTAATGGAAGCAGGTGCAGGATACACTGTATCACAAAGAAGGGGCTGATCAACCATTGTCAGATATTGGGGAAAGAAAGGAGGTCAGAAGACTGGGTGCGGTGGCTCATGCCTATAATCCCAGCACTTTGGGAGGCTAATGTGGGTGGGTTACCTGAGGTCAGGAGTTCAAGACTAGCCTAGCCAATATGATGAAACCCCATCCCTACTAAAAACATAAAAATTAGCCAGGCATGGTGGTGGGCACCTGTAATTCCAGCTACTTGGGAGGCTGAGGCAGGAGAATCACTTGAGCCCAGGAGGTGGAGGTTGCAGTGAGCCGAGATCACACCATTGCACTCCAGCCTGAGTGACAGATTGAGATTCCATCTAAAAAAAAAAAAAAAAAAGGAGGTCAGGAAGAGTTTCTCTCTAGAAGAAATGAGTAAGTGAGTTCAAAATGGGGAAGAAGAGTGTTCTAGGCATGGAACAATAATGGGTTTTGGGGACCTGTAAGCTGTCCATGAGATTGGAGTGTGAGGTGCTGGAAGTACTGGTTAGGGGTGATGAGGCTGGAGGCATAGGCTGGGGTTAGGATGTGAAGGGCCTTGTGGATAATGAGGGAGCCATTTAAGAATTATGAGGGGAGTAACACAATCAGTTTTGTGTTTTAGAAAAATCCCTTGGTTCCAAGGGATGGGTTGTTGAGCAGCTTGGATTTGAGAGGGTGAAGACCAAAGGCAGGGAGACAAAATAGGAAACCTCTACAAATCAGAAAAGATGAGGACTAAACACTGGCAAACAGCATGTGGATGGAGAAGAGGTGATAGATCCAGATCTGTTTTGTAGCAAATAGGAAATATTAGAATGGTAAAATATTGGTGGCCATTTGTGTATGAGGAGTACTGTCTCTTGTCACCATAACTTAAAACGTGCCTGGATAGATGTAAAGGTTAATACCTGTTAGTTTGTGTAGCCTGTTACTTTATACAGACAGTTCAAGATACATTGTAATGAAGGCAAGAGCAATATATTGTCTGTTATTGTTTTTAAGGTTTAGTTCTTGTAAATAAAGATGTGAGAAAGTTGTACTAATATCTTCAAGGAAATAGATTTTTATTTGCTATAAAATGCATGATTTTAATAAAACTTGAGATTACAAAACAATATATATTTATAACAGTATTGAAAGTAACATGAAATTCTTATAATCTAAATCATGAATTCTACATTTACATGTATAGTTGAGTAGTTAACATCTTTGGGCAATTCCATTTTCAGCTATGAAGCCATTTAAAGCCAAGTATTGAAATAAACTGAGCAGAATTTACCAAATATTAAACCAAAAAGTTAAAATAATATTTCTACTGAAATGTTTAGTAATTGTTTTGGGAAGAACAAAAATGTTTTGGTACCATTAATACATAACACAACAATGATCTTAAAAATATTATTTTATCATCTCATTCTTATAAAATTTCATTTTTTGGTGTATTTTTATAATGTATACAATATATTGATATGGTGATACATTTGTAATTTGTAAACAATACATACAATAAAGTTAAAAATACACAATAATGGTATTTGTTCAGAAATGTTTTACTCTTGGGATGAGCCATCAAAAGTTTGAAGACTCCGGCCTGCACAATAAAGACCAAAATCCTTTTCATGGTACACAGGACCCCTCAAGATCTAGTCGTATTTGTCACTGTGTTCTCCAGCTACATGGGACTTCTGGCATCCCTCTAACATGACTCCCTGACCTTACTTAGACTTTGCCTATCTATTACATCCTACTTGAAGTGTCCTCTCCTGCTTATCTCCTCTTCATCATTGAAAACGCAGTTCTTGGCTGGGCGTGGTGGCTCACGCCTGTAATCCCAGCACTTTAGGAGGCTGAGGTGGGCGGATCACTTGAGTCCAGGAATTCGAGACCAGCCTGGCCAACAGGGTGAAAACCCCGTCTCTACTAAAAAAATACAAAAAATTAGCTGGGCATGGTGGTGCACGCCTGTAATCCCAGCTACTTGGGAGGCAGAGGTTGCAGTGAACTGAGATCACACCACTGCACTTCAGCCTGGACAACAGAAGGAGACTTTGTCTCAAACAAAACAAAACAAAACAAAAGAAGACAAAACAAAACAAAACAAAAAACAAAACCCCCCACAGTTCTTAAGACATCCTTCTTTTTTTCTGAGACAGAGTCTTGCCCTTTTGTCAGGCTGGAGTGCAGTGGCAGAATTATGGCTCACTACAGCCTCATTATCCTGGGCTTAAGTGATCTTCTCACTTTAGCCTTCTGAGTGGCTGGGACTAAAGGTGCATACCACCACACCTGGTTACTTTTTAATTAAATTAATTAACTGGTAGAGAGAGAATCTTGCCATATTACCCAGGCTTGTCTAGACCTCTCAGGCTCAAGTGATCCTCCCATTTTAGCCTCCCAAGTGGCTGAGATTACAAGCATGTGCCACCACACCCAGCTAATTATTTTAATTAATGAATTTTTTTTTTTTTTTTTTTTTTTTTTTTTTTGTGGAGATGGAGTCTCACCATGTTGCCTGGGCTGGTCTTGAACTCCTAGGCTGAAGCAACTCTCCCACCTCAGCCTTGCAAAATGCTGGGATTACCGGCATGAGCCACTGTGCTCAGCCAAGTCACCTTCTTTCTAAAGTCTTCCATGACTGTTAGCGATATAAATTTGCTTCCTTCCCTGTGATGCTTCTGTAAGTTTTATATCCTTTAAAAACTGTTGCATGTTATTTATTTTCACATCTGTTTCCTCTTCTAGATTGTTAGCTACTTGGGGATGGTGTTCCTGGCTTTCTTTTTCGAATCCACAACTCTTAGTGCAGACACTAAAAATAAGTATTTACTGTATTGATATGTATTTAGTTACAGAGCACATTCTAGATATATTTCCGTTAAAATTAGCTGAAGTACACAATCATGAACTGGCTCCACATCAGACTTTCTCTTGTGTATGCCCTGACAATCAAGAGATTTTGTTATATAATATCTTATTTCTCTCTTTTTTGATAAAGCCTTCTGAAACCAAAGCAAAGGCAATTGAAAAGATTGATGATGTTCTTGAATTATACATGGGAATTCGAGATATTGATTTAGGTAAGATTATACTATTTTAAAAAGTCTTGTATCTCTTAATCTGCTTAATGTTTATGTCTTATTTGTACATATAGCCAATTATACTTTTGAAGATAAAAATATTTGTGGTGTGATGAAAATAATAATGGACATAAAGATAAGAATATCGAAAAGAAGACCTGGCCCTTACCCCTTTCTAGCTATGAGGTCTTAGTGCCAAGTAAACTTTAAACCATTTTAGTTAGTTCTTAGTCATTAAACTGTGACTACTGTCTCCTTTAGTGTTGTTTTTTTTTTGGATTTAAAAAATATACATAAAATGAATTTTGTAGATAATACCTATAAAAGGCATTATTATTTGATATATCAGATGTACATTGATTAAATTGCACCCTTTAACAGGGTTACTGAAGCCCTATGAACAAAGAATTAGAAATATGAAGAAAGAGGACACATTTGGCATATGACTGAGAAGAGCAGTTGAACAGTTGAATTTCTGTGTGTTTCTTATGTCATCATTAGGCTGTCAGGGTCTTGATTTATCAGTTAAGACTCTACCAGTTGCAAATGACCAAAACAAAGACCAAACAAAAAACCCTACTTCCAGCTGGCTTAAGGAAAAAAAAATGAGAAACTTATTGGTTCTTATAATTGAAAAGTCCAGAGCTAGACCTTGGCTTCAAGAATGGCTGGATGCTGAATTTTCATGGTGTCATCAGGATGTGATTTCTCTTCTCTCAGTCCTGGCTTCATTTCAGGTCCCTGTGGTATCCCCTGACAGCTTCAGTCTCTCCCTCATGGGGCCAAAATGACTACCATTGCTCCAGCCTCTACATCCTCATGGCATCAAGCACAATTAGAAGGAGGGAGGACCTCTTCCAAACCATTCGAACAAAATGCCCAATATTGTCTCTGGTTGGTCTGATTGGCTCAAGTGAGCCAGTTCCTGAGGCCAGGAGGATGGTTAGGTCTGGGTTGAATGCTCTGGAACTGAGAGTGACCCTGAAATACAAGGGTCAAGAGTGTGAAAAGGCCTGACCCTTCTCATGCAGAAGCAAGATAAGTGCCCACTAAGTAGGGCAGTTGCATGCTGGGTAGAGAAAAGGGAGTAAATGTACACTCCAGTGTGGAGGTTTATATCTGCATGCATTCACAGGTATGCATTTGAATCAGGTACTTTATGCATTTTTTAAAGGTAAGAACTTGACTATTTTGTTTATCCACTAGCAGGTAGAGTGTTTGAAGCCCATTTATTCTTTTCTACTTCCACTCATTTTCCATTTTCCTTTTAGAATTACCAAAAACAAAACAAATTTAGCTTAAAAATCTCAATTGGCTTTTATTTGCAACTCTAGTATCAGGCAGCACCTCAAAATGAGTGCTCTGATGAGCTGAGCAGAGGAGGTTGACTCTATAGTCAGAAAATGGCTGAAGAAAGCAGAAACAGAACAAAGAGTGGGTTCCCATTGCAAGGTTACTTTCTTTGTAAAGGTGAAACCAGAGGGAATTTCCTTATCATGCCAGCTAATCTGGGGATTTGGCTATTACCTTTCTTTCTCCTGATTTCATGGAAGGTCAGATAAACAACTTAGTTTGGCTTAGTGAGTGGAACTTCAGCATGAGTAACTCCATTTTGGTTTGGTCTATTAGGCCTAGTACAGGAGCTCAGTCCAAACCAATCACCTCCTATAAATTTTATTTAACAGAATCTGTTCTTATTTTCTCTCTTGCCTATGTGAACTTTTATTTTTTAATTTTTGAGACAGGATCTCACTCTGTCACCCAGGCTGGAGTGCAGTGACACAATCGTAGTTCACTGCAGCCTTGATTCCTGGGGCCAAGCCCTTCTCCTACCTCAGCCTCCCATGTAGCTAGGACCACAGGTGTGTGCCTCCATACCTGGCTATTTATTTTATTTTATATATTTATTTATTTATTTATTTTTTCTATGTCTGGAGTTTTCTATTTGAGAATATTTTTAAATTAATAGACTTTACATTTCCAGAAAAATTGAGCAGAAAGTACAGTTTCCATTTATTCCTCTCCTTTGCACAGTTATCTATTATTAACAAATCTTGCATTAGTGTGATACATTTGTTTCAGTTGAACTAATATTGATACATTATTATTATTATTTTGATTGTATGTTGAAACGATTTTTTTTCTTTATTATTGTTATTATTATACTTTAAGTTCTAGGGTACATGTGCATAACATGCAGGTTTGTTACGTATGTATACTTGTGCCATGTTGGTGTGCTGCACCCATCAACTCGTCAGCACCCATCAACTTGTCATTTACATCAGGTATAACTCCCAATGCAATCCCTCCCCCCTCCCACTCCCCATGATAGGCCCCGGTGTGTGATGTTCCCCTTCCCGAGTCCAAGTGATCTCATTGTTCAGTTCCCACCTATGAGTGAAAACATGTGGTGTTTGGTTTTCTGTTCTTGCGATAGTTTGCTGAGAATGATGGTTTCCAGCTGCATCCATGTCCCTACAAAGGACATGAACTCATCCTTTTTTATGGCTGCATGGTATTCCATGGTGTATATGTGCCACATTTTCTTAATCCATTCTGTCACTGATGGACATTTGGGTTGATTCCAAGTCTTTGCTATTGTGAATAGTGCCGCAGTGAACATACATGTGCATGTGTCTTTATAGCAGCATGATTTATAATCCTTTGGGTATATACCCAGTAATGGGATGGCTGGGTCATATGGTACTTCTAGTTCTAGATCTTTGAGGAATCGCCATACTGTTTTCCATAATGGCGGAACTAGTTTACAGTCTCACCAGCAGTGTAAAAGTGTTCCTATTTCTCCACATCCTCTCCAGCACCTGTTGTTTACTGACTTTTTAATGATCGCCATTCTAACTGGTGTGAGATGGTATCTCATTGTGGTTTTGATTTGCGTTTCTCTGATGGCCAGTGATGACGAGCATTTTTTTCATGTGTCTGTTGGCTGTATGCATGTCTTCTTTTATTTTTCAAAAATAATTTTTTTGGTAGAGATGAGGTCTTGCTATGTTGCTCAGGCTCAAGTGATCCCCCTGTCTTGACCTCTCATAGTGCAGGGAGAGATTACAGGTATGAGCCATCATTGCCAGCCCTGAGTGAACTTTTAAAATAAAATTTCTGTACTGGATATACAAATGCTGTCTGCAACTTAAAAACATTGGTAGTTTGTTCCTTGCTCCTTGGAGAAAAATGTAAAATTTTCCTATAGATTCTTTTTTCCTCTGTGCAGACAGGAAGTTAAAGCTGAAAACCAATGTCTGACAACTTCTCTTTCCAATCCTTTTGCCTGGCTAATTTTTTTAATTTTAATTTTTGTAGAGATGGGGTCTCCCTGTGTTACCTAGGCTGGCCTTGAACTCCTGGGCTCAAGCCATTCTCTTGCCTTGATTTCCCAAAGTGTTGGAATTATAGTCGTTGAGCTGCTGAGCCCAGCCTCAGTCTCCTGTTTTGAAACTGCCCCTCTCAAGGAACAACAGAATCCATGCTATGGTCTGGAGTGAATCACAGACACAGGGCCTAGGAAAAGATCTAACTAGGAATAAAGACAAACATACACATAAACATGTATACTTTTAGACATATAAGGAAATATGTAACATATAAATAGAGGCATCAACATGTACATAAATCAAATTTAGAATAGAAATGTTTATTTGTACAACAGTCTTGGGCTGTGGGCCATTCTTTAATGGTATTTTGCCATATGGGAGGGAAGCAAATACATGTATGTATACATGAATTTTTACATATACATACACACATATGCATAGGTGTATTTATGCTCACATACAGTAACAGAGATATGATATAGTATTGCTTATAGGCATATATATTTGGCTCGAGGCCCTAACCCTAAAACTAACCCTAAAAGAGACCAGCTTGGGCAACATAGTGAGATGAGACCCTGTCTCTAGTAAAAAAAAAAAATTAGCCAGGCATGGTGGTATGCACCTGAAGTCCTAGCCACTTGAGAGTCTGAAGCAGGAGGATTGCTTGAGTCCGAGAGTTTGAAGCTGCAGTGAGCTAGGATGGTGCCACTGCACTTTAGACTGGGCAACAGAGTGAGATCCTGTCTCTAAAAAAACAAAAATAAGTAAATAAAAAAAAAAAAGAAAAAAAGAAAATGCAGCTTAAAAAAAGGAAATTCAGGGCACTAAACATTCCTTACAAATTCTTTGTAAATTAACTAGAAATTTCTTTGTAAAGTGAATTAGTCATCTGTAAAAAATTCCTCTAATTGACATTAAAAGCCATTATCATTACACATGATTAGCAATGTGGTCAGTTTCCCAGGGAGGTAAAGTGTAATTATTTGAAGAATGCAAACCATTGTTAAATAAGGAATTTCTTTCATTATTCAGATCTGATTAGCGTGAAATATAAATCACAAGTGTGGTACTGATTTAACAGACAAATATATTTACTTGTACAAATATTCTCAGTATTTCTTAGCTTTCAGAAATACTAATTCTTAATGCAAATTACATTAACATCACATTTTTCTGTATTAATGTAAGTATATATTTTAAAAATTTAAAAAGTAGTATGGCAACAATGTGTCTTAGAACACTATCCTCAAAAAAGGATTAAGAGGTTTTATTATTTGAAAATGGAAAATAAATGAATTTTTTTTTGAGATGGAGTCTTGCTCTGTCGCCCAGGCTGGAGTGCAGTGGTGTGATCTCGGCTCACTGCAAGCTCCGCCTCCCGGGTTCACACCATTCTCCTGCCTCAGCCTCCTGAGTAGCTGGGACTACTCAGTAGCAGGCACCTGCCACCATGCCCGGTTAATTTTTTGTATTTTTAGTAGAGACGAGGTTTCACCATGTTAGCCAGGATGGTCTCGATCTCCTGATCTGGTGATCCACTCGCCTCAGCCTCCCAAAGTGCTGAAATTACAGGCGTGAGCCACCATGCCTGGCAATTTAAATGAATTTTTGTAGAGAGTAATCCTGAAGATGAAAGTGCTTCATTTGATTGTAAAGTTTAGTTGTGAA